GTCCAAAATGCCGAACTCCTGGGCCTCCATTGGGCTCATGTAGCGGTCCCTCTCCATGGCCGACTCGATCACCTGCAGGCTCTGCCTGGTGTGCTTGGCGTAGATGTTGTACAGCTGCTTCTTGAGCTTCAGGATCTCCTCCACCTGGATGGCAATGTCTGTGGCTTGGCCCTAGGCGCCCCCAGACGGCTGGTGGATCATGATGCGGGAGTTGGGCAGCGAGTGGCACATGCCCGGGCTGTCCGCAGCCAGGAGCAGGGAGCCCATGCTGGCGGCCTGGCCCACGCACCACGTGCAGATGGGGTTCAGGATATACTGCATCGTGTCATAGATGGCCAGGCCTGCAGTCACCACGCCACCAGGGCTGTTGATGTACATGTGGATGGGATTCTTGTTGCTCTCCGACTGCAGGAACAGCAGCTGCGTGATAACAAGGCTGGCGATGCTGTCATCGATCTGCAGTTAGGGAGGGTGGCACGTGTCCCCATAATGAGGGCGGGGAGAGAGATTTAAGGAAGGGGGCTAGGGAGAGGGGAGGCTGGGGATGGGTCAAAGAACCAGGAAGGGGGTTCAGAGCCCAAGTAAGAGTGGTGCAGAAGGATTCAGAAACCAGAAGGGGTTTGGTGGGGGTATAGTTTGGACCCTTGGGTGAGAGAACAGGAAGAGAGGAATCCTGACACCAGAAGGGAAAGGATCAGAAAGGTCGGCGGATGCTAGGCGTACAGTGAGAGGCAGAGATCCAGAGGAGAGCAGCAGAGGATTCGATGAAGAAGGTAAAGGGAATCAGGGCGAGGAGGCAAGTTAGAGGAGGAGAACAGGGTTTGGGATCAGCTTTTCTTTATTTTTTTTTTTAGGGTTAGAGGGTTAGGGTCAGGGTAAGGGTCAGGGTAAGGGTTAGGATCAGGGTTAGGGTCAGGGTTAGGGTCGGGGTCAGGGTCAGGGTCGGGGTCGGGGTTAGGGTTAGGGTTAGAGTTAGGGTCAGGGTCAGGGTCAGGGTTAGGGTCAGAGTCAGAGTCAGGGTCAGGGTCAGGGTTAGGGTTAGGGTTAGGGTTAGGGT